TTTATCAGAGAGAAAATCATCACAGGCGAAGTATGCACTCCATACATCAGCTCTGAAGACCAACTAGCAGACTTATTTACAAAAGGGCTAAACCATTCCAAACATCAAGGTCTCTGTGACAAGTTGGGCATGATTGATATCTATGCCCCAACTTGAGGGGGAGTGTTAGCAGGTGTAATATACGTACTATTCACAGACTTAGTACCCGCAGGGGTATTTTTGTAATTCTGTAGACATATTGTTATGTATGGCCAGAATAGTATAAATGCAAAGCTTCACTCGACTGAAACTAAGTTTTTGAGGCCTTAACTCTGTAGCCTCTTCTTCTTCTTCTTCTTCCTTCTTCTTCCCTTCTTCTTCTCCTTCTTCTCCTGCTCAACAGGCAGGTTGTGTTGATTATAGGAAATCTATATTTGAATATCGTACTCTTGTAGCTAATAATCTAGTCTCTTGGAGGAATAAGAAACAATCAATAGTGGGTCTTCACAATATTGCATGTTGCTCATGATACACCAATAATGCAATATTGTGAAAAATTAGGCAGCCATCAACATAGCCTATAATCTAGTTCAGCATGACAGAACAAAACATATTGAAGTGGATAGACACTTCATAAGGGAGAGAGTGACTTCTGGAAAAGTGTGTCTTCCTTTTGTTGCTTCAAAAAAAAAAAAAAAATCAATCAATGTTTTCACAAAGGGGGTTCCCAGGTGTAAATTGGAGCAGTATGTAAGCAAATTGGACATGATTGAATCTATGTTCAACTTGAGGGAGAGTGTTGAGCTGCAGGCTTGGGCTTTACTTATATTGCCTTATTTTAGTTTTATTGTTAGTGGGCCTTAGGTGTAGAGGGTTGTATAACTAATGTACTTCCTATTTTATTCTTGCAGCCACCCCATCAGGGGTAATCTTTTAAATTATTTTACATTAACATTACTCTAATAAAAGAATGATTAAGGGGCTGAGGATTGGATAGAATCTCTTGACCACCTGAACACATTTTTCTTCCTCTCATCTTCGTGCTCTTGTTCTGAACTTCTCTCACACATTTTTTATTTGCTATCAAATCACACTTAATCCTTTTTAGAGCTGTTTTACTTCTGTATTGTATAGCTATTTTGAGCATTTGGGAATTGACTTTAGTTATGAACCTTTTAAGGACATTTGTGACCTTTCAACCTAGCTAGCACCACAGTGCAGATAGGTCCCACCAGATAATCTAAGTATTACAATAACCATGTCTTCAGTTGCCTTAACTTTGGAAACCAGAAGTACAATTCTCTTGCATGAAAATGAGTTGATTAATTCTTATTTTCCTAGATCAAGGGATTTCAATTGTCAAGGATGACAAAATGGCAAAGGTTTGGGCCTCAACCAATTTTGAATTTTTGACTTCTAAATCTGAAAGCAAGGAACCAGAAAAAAAAATTGTGAAATCTGAGGCATGGTAGATCCCAAACAACCTGAAGATGCCCAACTTGCCATGGACAGCTTACCAACTAATTGTTTATTGTTATATAAGCAGGCTTACTATCAAATTACAAAGTTTATTACCAATCAATAAACATTGATCTTGTTTATTATCAAATCACACATTGAAATTTAGAGTTGTCATTATGTCAATAACAATCAGGCCTTATTGGGTCAGGCTTGATAGGCATGAATTGCAATTCTGATCAACATCAGAGTTGGTTCTGGGTTTACTATTACAGACCCTACAGGGTCTGGTTCAGGACTGGGTCTGCAAATTTCTTTCAGTTCAGGGTTGGGTCCACCCTCACCCAAACTAGACCCAATCCATTGGCAGCAATGCATTCAGGCTAGGTGACCAACAAGGATGCCTTGTTGCCCAAGCAATGCCTAGACAACTATTTAACTAATTAGTTGACCACATTTTAGTTACGAAGGTGGTTGAAGATAAAAAGGGCTTCAACTTACCTCCAAAATAATCCGGCCTTGTTCATCATATGGAAATCTCCCCTGATTGGTTTACCATAGATGTCCTTGGCATTTTCATAATCATTACCGAAAAGATATACATGGTCACATTTCTCAGGATAACATGTTGAATGTGAGCAAGCACAGCCCAATTGTGAACTCTGCACAGAAAAGACATGGAATATATAATCATTCATCTGTGTTGATTCGAGACTTTGATTCAAATATATGAGGTTACACATGCATTCATATAGACATGGTATTTTTCTATTTGAAAAGCTTATGTACAGCACACTTAGATGCCTTTCCTTTTCCCTTTTCTTTTCTTCAAAGCCCTGTAGGTTGTTTCTTTTTTTTCTTCAAGATTTAGCCATTAAGTATCAAGATCAATGATGACATCTGTGATTATTTAGAGGCTAATCAAATCATGCTTTCTTTTTGTAAAACCTCATTTGATCATCATTGGAATTTTGCACAGGTTTTTTTTTTTCAATAAAATGTAAGACTTTGTTGTAACTCTGACACTGGGAGCTTGTCTTGCACCATAACAAAAACTTTTGCCAAACTCGGATGATCATGGATCCTGAATTGCCTTTTTGTGCAGATATGACACTAAATAGAATGGAATGGCGAAATAGGATTCATGTTGCTGACCCCATGTAGTTGGGATGGGGCAAAATAGAATGGAATGGCTGTTATTTTATTACAAAAACCCTTCATATTATGATCTATAGATTCTATACTCTGCTTTTGTTTGAAAAAAAAAAACATGAGATGTTAACACGTCATATGGTATATACTCTAGTTTCTTTATTTGCTTTATTTTTGGATACTATGCTATATTTTATCAAAAATCTAAGCTTCCATCTCATTGACCAATGCATTCTCTGCTGTTATGCATATTTCCTTTCTATATGTTTGCTCATTTGGAAATTCTCTACAATGCTTTTATTTGTCGATGGTTGAACTTTTTTTTTAAGATAAATAAAAAATCTTTATTAAAAAAAGAAACACAGAGAAAAGGTGCTAAGAGATCACCCAAGAGAAACAACAAACCCTCAAAATCCCAAAAAAATTCCCAAAGACCCGCCCCTCAGCAACACAAAAACAAACCCAACAACAAAACTCCTAAAAGAACCCAAACAAGGAAATCACAACTTCAAAAACATTACACAAGAATATCCCCAACAATCACTCCCCTGCAGATTAAAGCTTCTTTTTTACTGCATCTGGATCAACTTGAGACTTTAGGGTCCATTTCGTTTACAGTCGGCATCAGAATCAGAACCGGAGGTGGTCTATTCCCGTAGTCTGTTTGGTTCAGACAGGAATCAGAATGGGAATTGAAGTCAGCTGGAAGGGGATTTCATTCCCAAGGGGGAGGGAATGCCATTCCACCAGGAATGGGAATGGGATTCCAAGTCCACCCAACCAAACAGTTGGAATCGGAATGGCCCATTCTGATTCCAATTCCAGACCCCTATTCCTGTGAACCAAACAGGACCTTAGTTCCTTGCAAGATGGTCAAACTTTATTAATATGAATAAAAGAATAGTATGTGCAACATAATGCTTAATCATTTTATGCTGGGCTATCCTTGACTACCCAACCCCAGTTTATCTATGGTATGGTCCCCAGTACAACAGAGACCCATTAACCCCTTCTTTAACCATTGAATGAGACTTATTTGCTGATCTGTGTACTTGTAAATGTATGGTTACAGGTATTAGAAGCAGAAAAGAGCTTAGAAGTGAAAGAGCAGTCACGATAGGCATGAAAAAGGGACTGCTCAATGGAGAAAAAGTTAGTCCACCAGTCAGCTAGATATCTTTATAAAACTAGATAGACACAAATACCTCTGTTTAATCATGACCAAAAATAAAAACAAAAGAGAAAAACTAGTAATGGAGTTCTCACGGCAGTATATCTGATTAACAAGGTGCCTTCTCGTATACTTGGATTCAACACTCTGTTCAGCCTTCTTTTTCCTCAGGGGGAGATGTTTCATATTCCTCTAAGGGTGTTTGGGTGTGTCTGCTTTGCGCATATCCTTGGTCCTTACCATTCGAAGCTTAATCCCAAGGCAAAGAAATGTGTSTTCCTTGGATATGCAGAGAATCAAAAAGGGTATCGCTGCTATGATCCAGTCTCTGGGAACCGGTATGTTACTATGTGTTTGCTGAAATAGAGTTGTCGAATGAGAGGAGAAGAAGAAGAAGAAGATATGAGATGGGCAGCAGAAGTGTTCTCAGCCAGCCCTAATCTATTATATATAAGAACATTACATAATGTTACATAAATAGACCAGAATGCCCCTGATTAGTAATGGGACACCTAGTCAAAACAAACACTAAATAAGATTAGGCCCAGTAACTAAGGCCCAATAACTAATGACTTAAGACCCAACAAAGATAAACATACAAATTAAGACAGCCGAACCAACA